CTACATTATACTGGACACTGACTGGCTTTTTAAACAGATGATTAATTTTACTGGCCTGTAGGGGGCAGCACACTACATTATACTGGACACTCACTGGCTTTTTAAACAGATGATTAATAATGTTTGATTACATTTATACACAAAGTAATCTCTCTCATTTACAAACCAAGGTGGAAATACTACATTTATGAGTAGTTATTGCTAATTAATGTTATTTTGAATATTTATTAATCATAAGGTATCTATTCATGTATCTGTGCTTCTAAATATGTTCAATTCAATGTATTTTTGTATTGCCCAAAAGCACAACAACTGTTATCTTTGAGGGATTTACAAAGTTGTCGATTCACCAACAACAGATCAGAGATTCAAACAGGAAATGAAAAACACATTGGTGGGTGTCAAAGTCAAGGCCCGGGAGCCAGATGCGGCCCGTGAATGAATGCCCTTGGCCCCGGGATGATATTTGATTAGTATTAGAACCGGCCGCACAGAGACATAAGAAAATATTGGATTATTCATTTAATCATTGAATAAAACGCGGTTCACTGCGTTAGGTTTTGGTTTAACAGGTTTTATGTCATTGAACCAGTCCCTGGCTTGGGGCAAATTAGTTTTTTTGGCCTCTGATGTATTAGACTCTGACCTCCCTGGACTAAAAGGAGCACTGTTCAGAAAATGTAACATGAGTCGGTTCACATACTGAGTCATGTTGTTAAAAGCAAATCAATTACATATATGAATAATAGAAGTTAACTGTCCATGTTCTACAGTTCATGTAAAGAGCCACAGACTCTAAAGGTCTAAAAGAACGGATCTGAACCTTTACCTGGACTTTCTTGAAGATGAGTTTGTCCCAGATGCTGTCTCTCCTCACGACGCCTCTCTGTAGATCCGCCTCTTTCCTCCTGTAGGCGAACCCCAGGACCCAGCGCTTCAGGCCCGAGTTGGCCTGACCAAAGATCTGAAACAACACGTCAGGATTCGGTTCAAATCAGTGCTGGACTGGCCATCGGGCGTACCGGGCCATGCCCGAAGGGCCGATGCCTGTATTTGGGCCGGTCTGTCTGCCTCATACAAAAAACATGTTTGTGAAAAGTGTAAATCCGCTGAGAACTGTGTGAGGGGAGCACGTGTCCGCGGGGCTCCTGCTGCATGTACTTGAACGGGATTCCACCACCTCAGCGGCCGCAGTGTTCCTGCGTCCAGCGGCTCTGAGCTGGACGCAGGAACCGCTCACAACACAACACGGCGAGCGCATAGCCGCAACGTGACCATGTACCCAACCCCATAAACGCGCACAGGACCATGCATGTCTTTTCGTAATTTGTGCACCCAATAAACACACCGCTGCAGGAAACAGTCCGCGTCTCCCTCTCCTCTAAATTAAAGCTCGGGGATCTACATTTTCCATTGCATTAAAAGTTCATGTTTGAGCCCAAAAGTAAAATGTTGTGAACAGATTAAACAGATTTAGAGCCAGCAAATGGCTGACAATATGCATTTCAGAATTTTTTACCAATTCTCATCCCTGTAACAAACAATAGTGTTGTCTGTGTCCACCTCCCTCACTCTGAGACATGTTTATTACTCTGTTTAATGTAGACTATTGTACTGTATTTTATTGATGAAACTGCAGACATCCTGATCAGACTTCAAAAACCTTCTCAAAGACGGTGAAAGAAAAGGCCATTAAGGACATTCAGCTCCAGCAAACTTCAGCCTGTGATGGATATGAACAGACAGTGATGCAGGTGAACTCGGAGCCAAAAAGCAGATTTATTTACTGTATTTGTACAATTGCATGAAGGTTAAACTTAAAGCAGAGTTGTCACGTGGTGCGTCATTCTCTCCAGGACACGCTGCAGTGAAAATACACATCTGATAATCATGAATGGTTTCTATGTGTTTGTAGCCTTTACTTTGTCATTTAGATATTAGGCTAATATAGCTAATGTAGCTAAGGTAGCTAATGTAGCTAATACAGCTTCAGCCCCTGTTACCTTCATATGAGCCTTATACAACGCTGTTTTATTTTTTTTGCGGCTCCAGACAGATGTTGTTTTTAGTTTTTTTGTCAAATATGGGTCCTTGAACCTTTTGAGTTGCTGGGCCGCTAAGAAGGAAAAAATGCCCGGGCCGTTTTTTTGTCCCAGTCCAGCCCTGGTTCAAATCCAAACCCGGTGTTTCTGTCGGGCCTCGATCTCAGAGTGTGTCCAACTGGAGAAATCAGCCTTTTAGCCCCAATGTAAACACACGGTAACACATGGTAAGAGCAAGTCCTGCCCCACACTGAGGGATATTTATCAGTCCTGGATAACTTAGATTTGATCAAATACAGCACGAGACCTACTTCAGAACTCCCACTGATGTCTGCTGTCATTGTGTCCTTGGGCAAGACACTTTACCCCACTTTGCCTCACCTGCAGGAGGATCAGTGAGGGGCTGGTGCTCTGTGTACTGGGTGCAGCTCTGACTGCCACCATGACCCAGAAATGGA